GGCAGCTGCTGCATGCTAGGCTCCATCCCTCCCCAGCTGGCTGCTCTGCTTGCTTGCAGAGCCACCACTACCTCACTGTGGCCACCGCTGCTTCCACACCCCAAGCTGCCTTCCCACGGCTGGCCACACAGCTCCACAGGCAAGCAGTGTGGGGCACGGCAGAGGTGGAGAAGGTGGTGGCGGTGGTGGCTGCTGCATGCGAGCCACCCCCACCCTGGGCAGCCTGTGTGCAGCCCTCAGAGAGGCACTGCTGCCCTTGCCCCCCCAGCCCTGTGCCTGGGAGTGGGAACAGACACCAACTCCCCCCCCCTTCTCTATCTGCCCCTCCAGCCTCTTCTCTTCCCCCCAACACACTTACTTGTTGGTGTGTATGTGCGTGCATGTCTGTGCGCGTGTATTTGGGGCTGTTGTGGGGAAAGTGAGGGGCACCTGCAGGGCCAGGGGAGCTGGCGGGGGTGGAGCTTTAATTTTAATTATGGATTTTGGGGGTTTTATCAGAATTTACAATTTTTATCAGAGAATTTGCAACTTTTTACCAGGGTAAACCAGGATCAGCAGGGATTGTAAGTCATGTGCCCCAGCCCTTAACCATTTTCACTGCTCTCCACTGGATTCTTTCCAGTTTGACCGCACCCTTTCTGTAGCGCAGGGCCCAAACTGGACACTGTACTCCAGATGCAACCTCACCAGTGCCACATAGAGCGGAATAATCATTTCTCTCGGTCTGCTAGCAACACTCCTACTAATGCAGTTTATTATGCCGTTAGCCTTCTTCTCAACAAAGGCACCCTGTTGAATCATTTTGCTGATACCAACAATTTCAAAATTAGTTTTTTGAAAATAATTGAATGGAAGCTTGAAAATTGAAAACAGACCTCTACAAAACATAACAGGAGGTTTTCAGATTTGCAAAAATTTCTACTGAATTTTATATGCATGCTCATGCACTTTTCAGCCATCTACAGGGACTGATCCAATGTTCAATGAAGTGAGTCATAGCATGTGTGTCTACACGTTCATTAATGCACCATAATTATGGTGTATTAAGTTTAGTACCTGTAATTCCTGTTACTAAACTTAATATGCTGTAATCGGTGCTACTGCGCACTAGAGCTGGTGCATGCAATAGAGTAATTCTACTGTGCATTAACATGGGTTTTTCCTGCCGCACTAATGTGCACTAGAATTAGTATATTGTGCTTGTAGCACCTCGTTTAGACATGCTCAGTGTCTCAATTTCAGTGGTATTGGATTAGGCTCCTGGAGGGAAGAAAATATTTTTTTAAAAGGTTCTGAGCTTCACTTCCTTCCTGGATCTTCCTCTACACACTTTCTTCAAAAAGTAGAGATTTGGAGAGAAACACACTGGACACAGATTGCTAAATTGCAGGGAAATTAGGCACTGTGTATGAATCCCAAGGCAACTGAAGGAGTGAGCCAATTCTTTCAATGTTCTCAGACCTTCCCTGATCTGGAGCAATACTGACATTGGATTCATCTCTAATACCTCTATGACTGGCTTCACAGTCTCAGCTGAAGAGTTAAGACATTGCCCTGTACCATAAAACAACTGCTATTTTGAAACCTATTATATATCTGTTGGTAAAAGTTGATAGGGCACGTTGTGTGTAATAACAAAGAATGATTACTGTCAACAATATAACACCTTTTATCCAAATACACAATTAAGGAACATCTACATTTATTTTATCACACTGGTAGAACAAATGGCTCTTGAAGTGAGATGACAGTAGCTTTATCCCAGTCAATTTAGATTATCTGTCAGTTTAAGGTAAAATAAATGGAAGCTGTAACTACAAACATTTACATAAGAGAGAAACATGGGTTGATGGACATTGATACATAAGTGTCATCTGTTTTAAAACACAGGCTACACCTACATACATTTTTTGATACAGCTATGAAATCAATGACCTGCACAGAAACAGTCATAATATTGTGGCCATTCATTTCTTATTCAGGAAGACAACTTATGGAAGAGTTATCTTAGGGAACTATGCTGGAGCACAGATGGTTATGTAAATGGCATTTTAGGTTAATCTCTCAACTCCATATTCTTATTAGAAAGAAAATGACAGAATCTAATTTTCTTCACAGTTTCTATGAGCTAATAGATTGTAACCCAGTGCTGAGGAATTGGAAAGGTACCTCACCACCAACAACCAGACATACTGAAATAGGTAATATAGAATAGCATTTGACAAGAAGTACATTTTTATTGACCACACACAATAAGACATGGCCTCAGCCACCATTGGCAGGAATCCCAATGTTACTTGGTACATGCATCTCTTTGATATCAAAGTATTACTCTCAAATTATGTAAATATATAAAATAACACTAATGGAGAGATTTTTCTACTATACTCTTGTATAGCATACTTCCAGGCTTCTGGACTGCTGACCTTCATCTTTCATAGGAACTGTTCCCTCATCTTTTTTAAAATGAACATTCCTAACACATGACCCATCAAGGCTGTAGAAAGTTCATGTCCCAATAATCTGTTCCTGATGTTTAATTTAACATTTATTCATATTACACAAATGAACAAGAATAAACAAAACATAAGTGACAGCTCTTCAAGGTATATCAAGCACTGAACTGGGAATCAAGACCTCTTGTGAAGTGTTAAACTCAGTTCTTTCACTGACTTGTAGTTTCTGGCGTTAAACAAGTCACTTATCTTCCTGCCTCAAGCTTCCTTCTCTGTAAAGTATACTTAATACCTACTGACCTTGCAGGGCTCTTGTGGGAATTAATGGGAGTATAAAGTTTTAATTATCATCAAGTAAACCTCAGTACAGCATCACTTTTGCTTTTCATTGCCTTCATAGTACTGTGGTTTGCTGCTACATAAAAATCAAATATTCAGACAGAAATCCTTTCCTTCGTACATAAATCCATCCACTGAATGACTTGATTAACAAGCGAAAAGGTCTGCAGAATTGTGGCAAATACCTTTATGCAATTAAGGCCTTGATTCTATAATTGATATTACTCAAGAGAACTGTTGTGTCCATATGTATCTCACTGAAGGACTCTATACAAGCATGGCAGTATGGATGCATGCTATCAGTTATAGAATGTAAGACTTTATCATGGGCTGCTCTGGAGTACATTTGTTGATTATTTGAAGGATTCATTGTTTCTACTACATAAGGTATTAAAGTATGCTTAAAAATGTATCTGGTCCACTGAACTTATCAATTTTCCCCCAGAGTTCGTAGTTACAAAACATACATTAAACATACAACAAAATACATTTATTTGCCAGTCTCTCAGCAAAACTTGAAAACAATCCCCAAATGTTACCCTGTTCCAGCCATGAAAGTCAACAGAACTTCACCATTAGCCTCCACGAGCCGAGGAACAGGTCTGTTAACTTCCTTGTAGGTCAATAAAACAAGCACAACCATAGACAAAAATGTGCTCATTAGCTACCTGCCACTAAATAGCTGGCTAGGGGAGCTTGACTGCATTTTTGTGGATGCCATAAAACAGTGGCTATGTTCAAAACACAAATTTGTTCTAGAGCGTGGGGCATTTTCTTTTGAGATTTAGAATCCAGATGGTGTGGTCTATCAAATTAAAATAATTTTAAATGGTAAATTAAGTTTACAGCTTAAATTATGGAACAGCATTTCTCTGCATTCAACATATAAACTGAAAACCACATTCGCATTAAGATGCCATGCAATTAAGTTTATGAGGAGCTCTGGGTTTTGAAACGTATGAAAACACAATTTTACAAAAGGAAGTAGAAAACAAATGTAAACTAGTTAAGGGTCAGATCCAGCAACCTTTACTCAGGTAAGCAATACCACTGACTTCAGGTCACCCTCTTATTTATGAGCAGGAGGTCCAAGTCCTTATTTCTTACTTTACAACAGCTCTTATATTATTATAAGATATTATTATATTATATTATTATTATTATTCTATTATATTAACCTAGCATTGTACTGAAATACCCAAGTCCGTCACCGGCATTTAAGTGGAAGAATAATTCCGTGTACTAATCCTGTAAGGTGCCAAGTATATTTCAGTCAATGTCAAATAGGAGCTGAAGCCACTCACCCCTTTAAGGAGATGCCAGGATTCTCAATAAGAGCTGGACCCCTGTTTAAACAAACATGAGCTATGAACAAATAACTTTTACAGAAAGATGGAAACTCCCCTAAATAAATGGTTTACAGATTTTCATAATCTGTTCAGTCACAAATATAGTAAAACTTTCATTTATGAAAGTATTAGTGTTCAGTTTGCTCCAGGCGTGCACCTTTCACCTTAGGTTTGTTTTTTGAATTTTAAATGTAACATAAATAAGTTTGACAACATAGTACATCCATTTATAAACTGGATGCATGGAATGGTCTTTATTGCAATAACTTCACTAATAGCCACTGCTGCAGACAGAATCGAACATGCTGAGAGGTTACGGGGTAATGTAAAAATTATCATAAAGCCATTGAAATCTGTGTGTCCCATCTAAGAACTTCTTCCTGTGTTTCATAAAAAATAACCCTCATTTTGTTCTAAGTCTAAACAAACAGAATATGATATTATAGATTAAACTAAATTGAAAGATGGATCCTGGAGGAAAAAAGGGGAGAGGGAATCTCTTTTACCAGAACTACCTCTTTGCTGCTTTTTCTGCATTTGTTGCTTAATGACTCAGTGTTATTTCAGTCCATTCCCTTTGTAAATTTAATCAAGTCTTCAACACCACTGATGATCTATTACTCTTCTCAAAACCAAATCTCCAGGGGACAGATGAGAAAGAAAGGTTAAAGAGCTCTATCATTCAAAGCTTTACAGCTCAGGCTCCTATAAATCACTGTTTGTTTATTCAGATAATTGGGTACATTAGGGCGTGTAACTTCCAAGCGGCAGATCTTTCTGCTATGACTACCCGCTAAGCTTCCCCCGCCGGAAACACTCCGCACATGTATGTGGCATGCAGAACCCGCGCACCTACCGCTTGTTGCATGGCTTGGGGAAACAGCAGCGCTCCCTTTCCAAGGGCTTCCAGGGCTGAAGAACAGATGCCGCTGCGAGACAAACGCGAATCTACCAGAATGAAATAGGATTCGAGTTAAAATACAGTTAAGCTTTGGACTCGGCGCAGAAAGGAGAAGGGGGAGAATGCCCGTAGCGGCTCCGCGGGGCGGGGGGACACGCCGAGCCGAGCGCCCCAGCCCGGTGACGGGGACGTGCCTGAACTGCCCGGGACCGCGCTGCACCTGTGACCGCTCCCCGCGCCGAGCGCTGCTGCTCTTGCTCCGCCCACCCACCCCGGCGGGTCCCAACCTCCTTTTTAGGCTGGAGGCGGCCTCTGGGGAAACGCCAGCGCTGGGTTTTCTGGACTGCGGGCAAATAACAGAGCTGCCAAGAAACACCCCGGCGGGTCGGCCCGCCTTTGATGCTACAGATCCCCGCGGGGGGCGGGGAGGTTTCAAGGCTCTCTGGAAAGGTGCTCGAGGCACCTGGCGGTCCCCCGGCCCTTGGCACTCGCCCTCAGCCTCCTCCGCCCGTGGGACCCCGCCGGCAGCAGCTCGGGCTCGGCTCGGGACCTCCGGCGCCCGTGCCCGTGAGGGCGGCAGCAGCCAGAGCCCCCCGCAACTCGGGCAAGTGCCTGCAACTCACCCCGGGCGCCCCCCGCGCCGCGGCTGCTGCTCCGGCTGGGCTGGGCTGGGCTGGACTGCTCCGCGGCGGCGGGGGGC